TTTTTTATAAGAGAAATTAGAGTTTTCAAATGAACTGCTAGCTACCCTAATTACATCATTCTCACTGATTGATTGGGGCTTAATTATATTTTGATCCACATCATTGGATTTGGAGGAGCGAGGAGAGAATGGATGGAATTAATGGTAAACCCGATGTTATGCCATCCCATCCCATGTTCATTCTTAAACTCACCCAAAGTCATAGTTATGATTTGAGATTTCTTTTACTCTTTTGTGTAAAGCGGGATTAAGTGGCGACGACTTAAGATACATCAAATAATGCATTGCATGTGTCCAGCTAATCTAATGTTTAAGCAAATTATAATTGAGTTGTCAAAGTTTTATAATTGCATGTCTCTAATCGTAACCGTACGTGTAATTTTATGTAAAGATTGATCGTCAATGTGAGGAAAAAAAAAATCAATGACCAAACTTGAATGAAGCAAACGCAAGCTATTTCATAAAAAGATGTGAGCTGCTAACGAGATTTGTCAGCTGGGCACACCAAAGCTCAAGCTGGGGTCATTTTAACAAGGGGAGAATTTCACTTAGACTCCCTAAAGTTTGGTATAATTAGAGTCAAATCCCACATGTTCTCTACAAATCTAACGGTGTTAACTATAATTCAAAGGTCAAAATAAAGACTAAAAATTAAACAAAATAAAAACAAATAAAAAATCCTAGAACACCCCAAGAACCTAAGCCCAGAAAACCACCCCACCCTCGTCGCTCATAATCATCGTTTCAAACCTGCTGTGATTGACATAAAAACTAAAGTTTAGTTGCATATCTAGAAACGCTTAGTTTCAAATCTAATGAAATCAAATCACCATCCATGAAACAACCTGAAAGTAGATGGGAGGATTTCAAATTAAATTGAAACAGAGCATCTCGTCGGTAGAATATAATATAATATCATATACGAATCCATTGATGATGGGATGATTGAGAGATCTAAGAACCCCATTACCTTAAGCAAATCAAGGAGTGGGCAGTGGGTGTTTGGCAAACGTGTTTGTCAAGGTAGGAATTGAGAAACAGAAATAAGAGAGAGAGAGATACCAGCGGTGGCTGTGGCTGTGGCGGTGATGGTTGGGTGTCTTGAGAAGTTTTTTATTGCTATGAGCTTTGTTTGGTTGGGTTTTTTATTGGCTTACCTTTGACTTTTTCATAATTAAAATTGTAGGTGTTGAACCGTTGCATTTTTCGTTTGAGAATTTCTTTGGTCTATTTTTTTTTTTAAAATACATTCTACTTTCAATGTCTTACATGAGGAGGTTGTTGGAGAGGGTCGAGCGAGAAAATGAAGAAAAAATGCATAAATGTGCTGAAGAAGAAAGGGAGGGGGAAGCAGATGATGATCAAGTTGTTTTAGCGGTGGGTATGCTCGATCAATCAAGCCAACACCACCATGGTTCACAACTCGGCCGTGGCCCGAACACGAACAGACGTACGCATTCTTTGGATAAGAATCTCTTGGAAGATTAATTTTTCCCAAATTCGTTGTACTCTAGTTAGGGATCGGCAATGGGCCGGGCTGGGCTAGCCCGGCCCAAGCCTAATGGGTTTGGGCTAGGCCGGGCCGGGTTTATTAGATTAATTAAAATATACGGGCTGGGCCGGGCTAGGCTTTTTCTACAAAATCAAAGCCCGAGCCCGCCCCATGGGCTAGGCTTTTACGGGCCTCATCGGGCTAGGCCAAATGGGCCAAAATGGGCCGGGCCAAATGGGCTAACAATATAAATAAATAAACAGTTTTTTTATAAAATAAATAAAAATTAAAAATTAAAAGAATCTAATTATTTATTTAACCTTGGAGCCCATCATCATGAACAACACTTTTGTGCTTTGGATCTCATAAACCCAAAATTGCCCGTGACTAGAAACTCAATAAACAACAAGCTAAGAATGGTCCCTATCCATCAAGCAAAAGACTTTAAAAAAAAAACCATTGGAAAGAGAAAGTCATTTCCTTTATACCTGAGGAGGCAGAGAGAGTCGTGGTCAGTGCGGTGGAGAAAAAAAAACAATATAAATATTATAATAGATTTAAATAAAACAAAAGAAAATACTAACAAATATAAATTTAAGGATAAAACTTGTATTAATTTTGTGCTCATCAAATACCCCCAAACCTATATTTTGCTAGTCCTCGAGCAAAAGAAAATAAAAACTAAGTAGAAAAGAGGGAAGGGACGTGTTGGCGTGCAGAGGCAGCTTTCAACATTGAAGCAGAAAACATGGAAAGTAAAAGTAAAGGTAAAGAATTTCTCCCCTCTAAAAACACGAGGTTGCAAAACGCTTGGGAAACAAAGGGATCCGAGAGAAAAGCAAACTCATAAGCCGAAGTCTATATAACCTGTCTCGGTTGAGTTGAGGTTGCGTCTGTATTTCATCCTGAAAACTCAGAGTAAAGCATCAATAAGCAAGAAACACAAATCACATTGGCAACCTCACCCACTTCCCTCGATGATCTGAATCTGGAGTTGGCCCTTGCGCCACCATTGGCTCAAGTAAGTGCTCCTCCGAACTCTGTCTTCCCAAACTCCACATATTATCATGGCTCAGCCTCAACCTTTGTTGAGGCCATACCGAACAAGGCAATGCTACTAGGTGGCATGATTGGCACTGGGCTCACACCGGCGGAGCATTGGCAAATAGGACACAGGCCTGATAGGGTTGCGGTAGAGGAGACCCACACGCTGACCATGCACCATGCGGCCTCAGCTACAAATATAGGCCTGCGACTACTGGAGAGGACGCGAGAGTGCGCAGCACTAACTAATGAAGTTGCATCCCTGAAGGCCCAAGTGACAGAATTGCAGAGAAGGCTCTACTTTACCAACTAGCATATAGAAGCACTGTAGAAGAGGAATGCAGATCATGAGGAGCTACTGCAAGTGTTACAAGCTATAGCACATAGAGGCAATTAGCTGATGCCTCAGGTGGCTCAGAATGCAAGTGTTACTACCGTTGTAACTCCACTGTAAATTACTACACCCGTTGTAACTCCACTGTAAATTACTACACCCGTTGTAACTCCACTGTAAATTACTACACCCGTTGTAACTCCACTGTAAATTACTACACCCGTTGTAACTCCACTGTAAATTACTACACCCGTTGTAACTCCACTGTAAATTACTACACCCGTTGTAACTCCACTGTAAATTACTACACCCGTTGTAACTCCACTGTAAATTACTACACCCGTTGTAACTCCACTGTAAATTACTACACCCGTTGTAACTCCACTGTAAATTACTACACCCGTTGTAACTCCACTGTAAATTACTACACCCGTTGTAACTCCACTGTAAATTACTACACCCGTTGTAACTCCACTGTAAATTACTACACCCGTTGTAACTCCACTGTAAATTACTACACCCGTTGTAACTCCACTGTAAATTACTACACCCGTTGTAACTCCACCCATAGTCCACTATAATAAATTATAATTATAATTATAATTATAATTTATTATAGTGGACTATGGGTGGAGTTACAACGGTAGTAACACTTGCATTCTGAGCCACCTGAGGCATCAGCTAATTGCCTCTATGTGCTATAGCTTGTAACACTTGCAGTAGCTCCTCATGATCTGCATTCCTCTTCTGCAGTGCTTCTATATGCTGGTTGGTAAAGTAGAGCCTTCTCTGCAATTCTGTCACTTGGGCCTTCAGGGATGCAACTTCATTAGTTAGTGCTGCGCACTCTCGCGTCCTCTCCAGTAGTCGCAGGCCTATATTTGTAGCTGAGGCCGCATGGTGCATGGTCAGCGTGTGGGTCTCCTCTACCGCAACCCTATCAGGCCTGTGTGCTATTTGCCAATGCTCCGCCGGTGTGAGCCCAGTGCCAATCATGCCACCTAGTAGCATTGCCTTGTTCGGTATGGCCTCAACAAAGGTTGAGGCCGAGCCATGATAATATGTGGAGTTTGGGAAGACAGAGTTCGGAGGAGCACTTACTTGAGCCAATGGTGGCGCAAGGGCCAACTCCAGATTCAGATCATCGAGGGAAGTGGGTGAGGTTGCCAATGTGATTTGTGTTTCTTGCTTATTGATGCTTTACTCTGAGTTTTCAGGATGAAATACAGACGCAACCTCAACTCAACCGAGACAGGTTATATAGACTTCGGCTTATGAGTTTGCTTTTCTCTCGGATCCCTTTGTTTCCCAAGCGTTTTGCAACCTCGTGTTTTTAGAGGGGAGAAATTCTTTACCTTTACTTTTACTTTCCATGTTTTCTGCTTCAATGTTGAAAGCTGCCTCTGCACGCCAACACGTCCCTTCCCTCTTTTCTACTTAGTTTTTATTTTCTTTTGCTCGAGGACTAGCAAAATATAGGTTTGGGGGTATTTGATGAGCACAAAATTAATACAAGTTTTATCCTTAAATTTATATTTGTTAGTATTTTCTTTTGTTTTATTTAAATCTATTATAATATTTATATTGTTTTTTTTTCTCCACCGCACTGACCACGACTCTCTCTGCCTCCTCAGGTATAAAGGAAATGACTTTCTCTTTCCAATGGTTTTTTTTTTAAAAAGTCTTTTACTTGATGGATCATGGATGGGGACCATTCTTAGCTTGTTGTTTATTAAGTTTCTAGTCACGGGCAATTTTGGGTTTATGAGATCCAAAGCACAAAAGTGTTGTTCATGATGATGGGCTCCAAGGTTAAATAAATAATTAGATTCTTTTAATTTTTAATTTTTATTTATTTTATAAAAAAACTGTTTATTTATTTATATTGTTAGCCCATTTGGCCCGGCCCATTTTGGCCCATTTGGCCTAGCCCGATGAGGCCCGTAAAAGCCTAGCCCATGGGGCGGGCTCGGGCTTTGATTTTGTAGAAAAAGCCTAGCCCGGCCCAGCCCGTATATTTTAATTAATCTAATAAACCCGGCCCGGCCTAGCCCAAACCCATTAGGCTTGGGCCGGGCTAGCCCAGCCCGGCCCATTGCCGATCCCTACGTGCAAACGTGGTGCCCAAGTTTGAAATCGCGGTATTCGCTAAGTAGGAAAGCCAAGAAGATTGCTCAGCGTGTACTTGATCTCAAACTAGGCGAAGAATTGAGCAATAATGTTGCCAATCCTCAACAGCTAGGGTTAATAATCTCTAGTGAAGGTTTTAAGGGTTTTGAATCCAGAAAAGATGTCATGAGTGATGTGCTTAGTTCTTTGAGGAATGAAAAGACAAGAATAATTGGGATTTGCGGGATGGGAGGTGTGGGTAAAACCACAATGGTGAGAGAAATCATCAAGAGATTAGAAGGAATGAGTTTGTTTGATGATGTTGTGATAACAACTATCTCCGCAGCTGTAAACATTAGGACAATTCAAACTGACATTGCAGATTCACTGGGTATGAAATTTGTCGAGGAAAGTGAATCTAGAAGAGCACCAAGTCTACATGAGAGAATCAAGCAGAGTAAAAGAATCCTGATTATATTAGATGATGTATGGCCAGAGCTTAAATTACAGGATGTAGGAATCCCTTTTGGTGTTGGACCTACAACTAATGAAGTTTATAAAGGATGCAAAATTTTGTTGAAATCTCAGAATGAAGAAGTTTGTAAAGTAATGGGGTGTAAAGACATTTTTAAAGTCCAAGCCTTAAATAAAGAAGAAGCATGGGAGCTTTTCAGGGCGACTGTAGGTGAATCCTTGGACAATAATCATGATTTGTCGCATGTTGCAAAATTGATTGTTGATGAATGCAAAGGTTTACCCATCGCTATCATAACTGTTGGGAAGGCTCTTCTACCAAGTAATGGCAAGCATGAATGGAATACTGCCTTGCAAGAACTGAAAAATTCCCTCCCTGAAAACATCACTGGAATGGAACGTGAGGTTTATTCTTGCATAAAATTGAGTTATGATAAATTGGATAGTGATGAAGTCAAGTCATGCTTTTTACTTTGTTGCTTATTTCCAGAAGATTATGATGTTCCGATTGAGTATTTGGTGAGGTATGGGTTGGGGCGAGCAACTTTTAGAAACACCAACACAGTCAAAGATGTAAGAGACAAAGTGCATTCTTTTGTTGAAAAATTAAAAAGAAGATTTTTGTTGCTGGATAGTGAAAAGGAAGAATGTATCAAAATGCATGACGTAGTTCGTGATGTTGCTATATCAATTTCCTCAAAAGATCCTCACAGATTTATGGTAAGATCGTTTGATGCGAAAGGTGAAGGTGGAGGATGGCTAGGAGTACAAAAAGTTACAAACCAAGAACATTGTAGTGCAATTTCGTTAATTGATGTTACATTGGATGAAAATATTACTAATGGTTTGGAGTGCCCAAAACTTGAGCTTCTGCAACTGAAAAATTCCTCCAGTAGTTCCGAATATTCCAACCATTTTAAAGGGTTGAGAGAACTCAAGGTTTTAGCTTTATTGGGGATGGATATGTCAGGTTACTTGGCCTCGAAAAGATCTCTACCGCTTGGAGAACCCAAGTACCTTCATACCTTGTGTCTATAGGATTGCAAATTGAGAGACATATCTCATGTTATTGGAAGATTGGAGAGTTTGGAGATCCTCAGCTTTGCTCGCTCTAAAATCAGTAAGTTACCTATAGAAATCGGACATCTTCAACGGTTAAGGATGCTAGATGCAACAGATTGTAAAGGACTTGAAGAAATTCCTCATGGTGTCTTATCCAACTTGAGGAGATTAGAAGAGTTGTACTTGGCCGAAAGCTTTCTCAATTGGGGGCAAGCAATATAAAGCAAGGATGAAACGAGTATGGCAAGCCTTGATGAGGTGATGTCTCTGTCTGATCATTTAAATGTCGTAGCCATAAAAATCCCTGATGTTCAGATGTTGCGAAATGATGAGTTTCTTTTAAAAAGCCAACCTATAAGATTTCATGTATCTATCAATATTAGTTGGTCATACAGAAAAGATAGTTTCAAGAATCGAATGCCTGGTTATCTATTCGAAAATAGTTTGATGCTTCGTGGTGATGTAAAGGAATATTTGGAGATTGGAGCAGTTAGATACTTCTTGAAGCAATCTGAAGACTTACGCCTATACCACACATACAATTTAAAGTATGTCATTGAGGAGTTAGATGATGAAGGGGGCTTTCAACACTTGAAAGTGTTATCAATCATGTATGACAACAACATAGAGTATCTTATGAATGGAACAGATTGGACTCGTCGTCGTCAACCTGCCTTCCCCATCTTAAAGTCAGCTACCTTCAACAATGTTTACAAACTAAAAGTTGTGTGTCGTGACAAACTGCCAGACAAGCACTCCTTTATGAACCTAAGATCCATTGCAATTGACAATTGTGATGAGTTAAAATATGTATGTTCACTATCCATAGCACAAAACTTGGTACAACTTCAAAGCTTAAAGGTTGAATATTGTGCTAAAGTGGAAGAGATCATATCAAAGGAGAGAATGGAAGATGATGATGCATCTCACAGGATAACTTTCCCAAGATTAACTGTTTTGGAGTTTTCTTATCTACGAAAGCTTCATGGTTTCTACACGGGAAACCAAAGGGACTCCGCCTATGAGGTATGCATGTATACACTTTTGATGCTTGAATGGTATATACATGTTACTCTTTGGAATATGCTGCTTTTGTTGTGCTTGATATTGTCGGTCCAGTTCTCGAAGTTTATTTGGGTTGAACTTAATCATTTTTGGTCTGTTGGAGATTTTAGATATGTTTTAAATTTTTGCAACTATTTTATAGATATTAAATAAAAAATTATCTCTGAAAAAGTCACTTGAATCGGATATCATTTGATAGCTCAATTAAAATATTGTGATTTTAAGGCAATTTGGAAATAAGACAAATGTTTCTTGGTAATCTTGAGTGGTGGGAAAAATGTTTATTGGTAAATAGTAACTGAGGGAAATAGTGGGTATGAAAAGGATTTCTCAAAATTTATGACAGAGGATGTGGGAATATAATTAAGGCAATTTGGAAATAAGACAAATGGTGGAAGTTCATTACTTATGTATTTCTTTCTTTTTGGCTCATGTATAAATTCATTATTTATGTAGAATTAATTAATGTACAGATTATAAAGCCCAATGATAAAAGTGTGAACAAGATGAAAGAGACTAGGAATGACAATCAAGTTGCTGGGTCGACCTCGTTTAAATCAAAAGTAGCACAAGTGAGAGCAAGTTGTAATGCACTATTTCCTTCAAATTGCATTTCATGATTACCAAATCTAGAGGAGCTAGAAATGGTCTCTTTGAGAAGAGAGCAACAATCAGAGGACTCTTTGACAAGCGAGCAAGGGTCAAAAGAAAACAATGAACCAGTAGTCAATGTGGTATTTGATTTAGAAGGGCATGACTCAGCATTTTCTCAATTACAGACATTTGAAGTGTGGTATTTAAATGAGGTATGTATGTGTTTGTTTGCATGTGATTTTTATAGCGATTTTAGAGTGCCTTGGATTGCATGGAGGTAAGTAACTTGAAGTTTAGAGCATGTACAACTAGAGATTCTACCTTCTGTGAGTAAAATATAGTAGGTACCCATAGCACAAATATCACGTGCTAAAATTCATGATAAGCAATTAGCCACGCCATCAGAAACAGCTTTATTCAGACCATAAAATAAAATAAAAACAGCTTTATTATGATATGACCCATGCGCCGTGCTACTTGTTTTCTTGTTACTAAAAATAAAAAAAATAACAATACTATTGCTTTATGATATGACCCATATGCCACAGCTTTAGGATATTAGACATTATTTATAATATTAATTCTATGCATTACTCAAATTTTAAGTTATATGTCGTCGATTAATCTCATAACACATGAGTGAACGAAGTACCATATAATAATTTCTCTGTAGAAAGAGCAAAGGAGTCGAACATGAAGTTGTCGCCTTTGTGAGTAATACGCTGAAGCCGCTCATTGATTTATTGAGCTGTCATCAAATAACACTATTTTTCTTCTTTTACATCACAAGGAGCATTTGTGGAAGAGCGTTCGACCTGGATTCCAAGGTTTTCAAAATGTAAGATCTTTAACAATTCACCTTTGTACGAGTCTGAAATATCTATGCCCCTATGAAATTTACAAGCTCCTTGTGAATCTCCAAGAATTCAAAATAGATGAATGTGAGAATATGGAAACTATAGTACTGGCAGCTGCTTCCACAGAGGACAATATCCATGAAGAAGGGAAAGAGACAGGTGGCAGTGGTGCGATGACTTTGTTTCCCAAACTACTCAATAGCTTCGCACTATATAGGTTGCCAAGACTAGAGAGATTTTGCCCTGATGCCTATTCTTTTGCATGGTCCTCCTCCACGAGAAGTATGCACTTGAGAAATTGTCCCAAATTAAAGACATTGGGTTTTGCACTAGTAAGCAAAAAGTTGCCTGCAGCAGTTGCAAAGAATTTGAGTAATGATCATGTAAGAGATAGAGAAGAATCAGGATTTGGATGTGCATCATCAACTGGATCTGGATCTGGATTTGGATGTGTGCCACTAGTTTGCTTACAAAGTCGTCCATCTACTCGCAACTTTACTCAAATATTGCCCCGCCCTGTAAATAGAGAGGTACGTCATTATTCTAAAGATATTTAGTTTCTATTTTGTGAAAATTGGTCTTAGGTACAGATGTCATTGAAGATGTTTGTACAATATCTGGCCAAGCATTTCCAAGCTAATCCAAGCAAAGGGAAGGGAGTCCCACATCGACAAAACACAAGAGAAGGGGACTCTCCCTTCCCTATAAAAGAAGACCCCTCTCCTTCAAAGGAGGGAGAGGAAGAAAGAGGTTGGGCAGGCTATTAGGGCCTCATGGGCTTACCCATGAGCCCATTTACAAGCCCACGAATCATCGGCCATCAGCCAAATCATCTGCCTTCGGCCATTAGCCTTCGGCCAGCAGCCTTCGGCATCTGCCTTCGGCCATCAGCCTTCGGCATCTGCCCTCAGCCTTCGGCCTTCGGTATTCTTCCTCTTCCCCTTGGGTCTAACCCTATGTACAATGTATACACACATTATTATAATGAGAACATACTTCTCTGTGGACGTAGCCCATTATTCGAGTGAACCACGTACATTTGTCTTCTGTATGCATGTCCATTTATTTACCGATTGCTCTTACATACTGAGGGTCCTCACCCTCAACATCCACCTCATCTTTAAGTTGGCCTACATACTACCTGTCTAGTTTTAGCACAAACAGATTGGCGCCGTCTGTGGGAAGCGACACAAAACGCTATGTCGTTCTCCTTCACGAGTGCTCTCGGCACCCTTTTGAGCCATGCCCTCGGAACCCCCTACAATCTGCCTTTGGCCTTCGGCACCCCATCATCATTCGGCGCGTGCGATGTCTTCACATCCCCCTAATGATTCGGCATCTGCCTTTGGCCTTCGGCACCCCATCATCATTTGGCGCGTGCGATGTCTTCACATCCCCCCAATGATTCGGCATCTGCCTTCGGCCTTCGGCACCCATCATCATTTGGCGCGTGAGATGTTTTCACATCCCCCCAATGATTCAGCTTCAGCCTTCAGCCAAGCCAAACGGCACCTTCTAGGAGACACTTCTCCAGCGCCTTTTCTCAAAGCCATGCCGAACGGCACCTTCCAGGAGACACTTCTCCCTGACGGCGCCATCAGCTTCAGCCTTCGGCCATCAGCCTTCGGCCATCAGCTTCGGCCATCAGCTTCAGCCATCAGCCATCAGCCTTCGGCCATCAGCCATCAGCCTGCTAAAGAATGAGCTGAAGCATTACTTGGACAGTGCATTGATGACTACAAGTCCCCAATCAAGAAAAGTACCTCCTTAATCGGGAACTTGGGGGACTCCTGTTTGTACAATATATGGCCAAGCATTCCCAAGCCAATTCAAGAAAAGGGAAGGGAGTCCCACATCGACAAAACACAAGAGAAGGGGACTCTTCCTTCCCTATAAAAGGAGACCTCTCCCCTTCAAGAAAGGGGGAGGGGTTGGGCAGGCTACTTGGGCCTCATGGGCTTACCCATGAGCCCATTTACAAGCCCACGAATCATCGGCCATCAGCCAGATCATCTGCCTTCGGCCATCAGCCTTCGGCCAGCAGCCTTCGGCATCTGCCTTCGGCCATCAGCCTTCGGCATCTGCCCTCAGCCTTCGGCATCTGCCTTCGGCCTTCGGTATTCTTCCTCTTCCCCTTGGGTCTAACCCTATGTACAATGTATACACACATTATTATAATGAGAACATACTTCTCTGTGGACGTAGCCCATTATTCGGGTGAACCACGTACATTTGTCTTCTGTATGCATGTCCATTTATTTACCGATTGCTCTTACATACTGAGGGTCCTCACCCTCAACATCCACCTCATCTTTAAGTTGGCCTACATACTACCTGTCTAGTTTTAGCGCAAACAGAAGATAAATGATAAATAAAATAAAAAAGAAAAGTTAAATGGGCTTGGCCTAAGCACGGCCCATGACAATTGTAAACACTTGTTCATTTTCATTTGGGAAATGATCACCATTATTTTCGCAAACAGTCTTATTGATATCTAGAATGTGATAATATACAATACTTAAACTGCTTAGTTAAACAATAAACAATACTGGTACATTCTTTTTATACGAATACTGGTAACTAGCTTAGCTCAACAATAAACAATTCATTTTTCTTTTTTAAACAACGTTCTTGATTTCTAGAATGTGATATAATATCCCATATGTTTATGATTGAAACACTAACAAATTAATATACAATTACTTTTCTACCCTTTTGGCAGGTTACGCCGGCAAATCTTCAGACCTCAAGTGCTAGCCACAATCTAGAAAATCTCCATGTAGAAAGTTGCGATATATTGGAAGTGATATTTTTGGTTCAGGAAACCCCTTCTACTCAAGCATTTGATAAGCTAAGCGAATTGGAGTTGGGGTCGTTACCAATGCTGAGCCACATATGGGAAAAGGGTTTACAAGTTAGCTCAGGCTTTGGAAACTTGAAATCACTGTATGTATGGGCCGTGACAATTTGAGATACTTGTTTTCACTGTACATAGCCAAACTTCTTACCTGCCTTGAGACAATAAAAGTTTCCAGTTGTAGGGTGATGGAGAAAATTGTTGGAGAGGTAGAAGGAGGAGGAGAAAGTGTTGAGGATGAATTGACATTTCCGCATCTGAATGATATCAAACTTAAGAATTTACCCAAACTTGAATCTTTCTGCTCTCAAGCTTATACTTTGAAGTGGCCAACCTTGGAGAAAGTCGAAGTTGATGAGTGTCCAAATTAAAAGCATTTGCTCCTGAGTCTCTATATGTATAAGCAGCCGATATGTGTCTATAAAGCGTCCACGTGGAAAGAAAAGAAGGTATGTTTTCAATTGAACCAAGCACTATGGTCGGTCACTATAAAATCAGTAGAAGATATATATAGCTTAATATATTTTCATGAATTGGCGTTGCTTTTTATTTTTCCTTGCCTTATCTTTCTTATGTCATTAGTCCATCTCCACATTTTATTATTATTATTATTATTAAACTTCTTTTCAGGATTTACTATTGTTTAAGCATTAGAGAATAATTTATATACCATAATTTTGTCTCTAAATGGCACAGAGAAGCCATAAACCCCTGATACCTAAGCTCTATGTTCTTAAAGATTATACTACGTACCCTGATAACACAAATGTAACTCAATAAAAATTACCCTAATTTACCTAAGCTCATTCCCATGATATACGCCCATCATATGGACTATAATACAAAATAATCTCTAATCATAATAAACGCTTAAATCTAAACTCTCATGAACTATTTAATAAAAAATAAAATAAAAATTGAATTTATTTGAAATGTCTATATATATATATGGCTAGTGAAAATGCTTATTTATATATGGCTGGTTAAAATGCTTCTAAGGATGGCATCATTTTTTAAAGTAGTAGTTAACCATTAATATTTGCATAATATCCATTACATGCATTTTCTATTTTAATCATAGATAGTAATTTGTTATTCTTTATTTTGCATAATCTTTGAGAAGAATATCATCAGAAGTCAAGAAGCTAGCACTACTACAAAAACCACTTTGCGCGACGAATGATTTTTGGTCGCGCAAAGGAAAATTTCGTCGCGCAAACTTTGCGCGACGAAATTTTGGTCGTGCAAATTCTGTCGCGCAAAACTCGTGGAGAAAGGGTTTGCGCGACGGCCAAAATTATTCGTCGCACAAAGCCACTTTGCGCGACGAATCATGACAACTTTGCGCGACGAATATTAATTACTTCGCGCGACGAATCCTGAAAACTTTGCGCGACGGACAATAACAACTTTGCGCGACGAATATTAATTACTTTACGCGACGAATATTATATACTTTGCGCGACGAAAGTTAATGTCGCGCAAGTGTACTTTGAGCGACGAATGTGGACGTCGCGCAAAGGTTTGCGCGACGAAATATTCATTTTTTTTAATTTTTGTTTTTTGAAAATTTTAAACTAAAATAAACTAATTTAATAGTTTGCGCGACGAAATATTTTGTCGCGCAAGGTTTTTGACATTTTTTATTATTATTTCTCTTATATCAATTTCATTATATTAATTTTTTTAAATTTAATTTAATTGTATGATTTTATTTTTCTTAATTACTTTAATTTAAATTGACATATTCAAAATAAAATTACATAAGAAAAATAGTGGTCAAATTATCCAATATACATAATATTCAAAATGTACACTTAAATTAACAAAGTACAATAATAAAATCTACAAGCCTCTTATATCAAATCCTCAACTTTAGCCATCAAAGCCTCAACAATTCCCTACAAAAAAAAAAACAAATATTGTCAAATAACAAAACAATAACATAAAATAATGACAAATAATTGGCATAAACTCAAAACTAACTCCAAAAACACATATTAATGAAAAAAAATTAAAATTTACAGAGAAGTGAGTGTGAGAGAATTAGAGAAGATAGTGAGAGAGAGATGAGAGAGTGAGTGAGAGTGAGAGATGATGAAAAGAGAGATGAGAGAGTGAGTGAGAGAGAGAGAGAGAGAGATAGTGAAGAGAGAGATGAGAGATTAAGTGAGAGGAGTGAGTGTGAGAGAAATGGTAGGATTTGGGGAGTGGGAAAGAGAGAAATGGTAGGATTTAGAAGACATTGAGAAAATGGTGGAGGAGTTATTTTGCTTTTAAAGAACGTATCACTTTGCGCGACGAAA